CCACTTAAAGGAATTTTGTTCCAGAAACATGTTTTTAAAAATCTATGGATTGTAAGACTGAGACTGATTTGAAAATGAACACATATTTTCAAAGCGAGGTGAGGCTGAAAGAAAATGATTTACCTGAGAATCCATTGAATCCACAGTGAATCATGTAGTGCCTTGTGACAATCGTCCCATTGCTGTTCCTTTGTTTGTTTGTTCAGTACCTACTAAGTGCCTTCTGGGCATTAGGGATTCCTTTTGAAACTGCTGGTGGTAAAATTAATAATAGCAATATCAAAAGCTAATATTTGTTGGGTTCTTATTATGTGCTAGGCACTGCAGTAATCATTTTAGAGGCATGTTAGCAGTTTATCCTCATGATTCTATATTACAGATGAGAAAGCCCCATTACCTGCACAGAGGTTATGTAATGTGATTCAAGGTCACACAGTTAGGACATGGAAGAGCTGGTGTCTGATTCCAGAACTCCTTCATTCCACCATTGTGCACACAGGGATAGGACCAATTCACTGCCTGAAACAGGCTGAAAACCCTTCAACACTGAGCCTGATCCATGTGGCTGGGTCCTAGCCACAGCCTCAGCAGCATTTTACTTCCTCCAGCACCTGCGAGGTACTTAGGGAAGGGTGTATTTCCAGAACAACTCTCCTGCTTGTTCTGAGTTAGAGGGGTCATTAAACTCTGGGTCCTAATCCTGATTATGTAGTTAAAAATATATGTTGGTGTCTTAGCCAATTTGGATAGCTATCGCAGAATACCACAGGCATGATGGCTCACAAACAACAGAAAAGTATTTCCTATAGTTCTGGAGGCTGGGAAGTCCAAGACCAAGGCACCAGCAGACTCGATGTCTAGTGAGTGATACTTCCTGGCTCATATAGGGCTCATGTCTCATTGTGTCTTCATGTGGTGGCAGGGTGAGGGAGCTCTTTGGGGTATTTTTTATAAGGGCATTAATGCCATGCATGAGAGTTCCACCCTCATGACCTAATCACTTCCCAAAGGCCTCACCTCCAAATACTGTCACCTTGGGGGTTAAGGTTCAACATTTGAATTTGATGAGGGGAGGAGGCACAAATATTCAGTCTCTTGTAGTTGAATTAACTGAAAAGTAGCAGTGACTTTGTCCTTGTGAAAATTTCCAGATGAGTTTCATTTCTTCTTCTTCTTCTACCTTTTTTTTTTTTTTTTGAGTTGGAATCTTGCTCTGTGGCCCAGGCTGGAGTGCAGTGGCACAATCTCAACTCACTGCAATCTCACTGCACAATCTCAACTCACTGCAATCTTCATTTCTGAGGTTCAAGTGATTTCCCTGCCTCAGCCTCCTGAGTAGTTGGGATTACAGATACATGCCACCATGCCCAGCTAATTTTTATATTTTTAGTAGAGACGGAGTTTCACCATGTTGGCCAGGCTGGTCTTGAACTCCTCAAGTGACCTCAAGTGATCCTCCTGCCTCAGCCTCCCAAAGTGCTGGGATTACAGGCATGAGCCACCACACCCAGCCAAATTTCATTTTTTTTCTAAGCCCCCTTCCCTTGTTCTTATACACTGGTGAATAATACCAACTCTTATACACTTAGCATCTGAAGACAGAGATAATCAGGACCCTTAAAATGCAGAGGGCTACTAGCCATGGAGATCATTTTTAATTTCTATTAAAATTCTCACTTTACTCAGTTCATTGAATCTGGAGACAAAGATGAAGTCAGTGTATCAAGGTGATGGGTTGTCATCGAATACTGAAACCATGGCTGATTTTCCATATATTGAGCCAGATTTAGACATTCTTGTGTCTCCTCCTTGAAGTTAATAAGGCATTTCCACCTATTCATTTCTTCCTTAAAAATCTTTCATACTTAGAAAAAAAGTTAATGAGTCATGAGCAGAGTTCTCATCCCCAAAGAGCGCTTAGGGACTACATGCGTTGGCTTGGCAAGGGAGATACTCTGAGAGGACTGAATCTATTTCCAGTAAATCATGAATGAAATACCAGGTGACAGTTCAAGGATCATATTAATTTATTTAGGAAAGCAAAGCAAAGTCTGGATCTAAACTTAGAAATGAAACTATTAAACATATAGGATCATAAGAAAAAATTGTGACAAATTATCCCAGGAAAACTGTAAAGGGTGGTGGGGAGGTTTCCTCAAATTTCTGTGCCTGGGATTGTTTAAGGGAGCTTACTTTTCTCATACAAAGAGTCACTGTTGCAGCAACATTACTGCAGTCGTAGACATCACATCCTTGTTCAGGCCAGAAGAAAGGGCTCCAGCGATGCCTATCTCTTTATTAGGAGAGCAAAATCCACATTGCTTTCCATTTATGTCTTATTGACCAGAAATCCTATGTTGCCTTGAGCTGCAAGGAAAGCTTGGAAATGAACGTGTAGCTTTTCAGTCTCTAAGGAAGGTAGGAAGGGAGAAGAGGGCTGGGAATGGAGTTTCTGTATGCCATGAAGAGTGCCTGCCGCATCCTCCTCCTTCATTCTCTCTGCCTACTCATGCTAAGTTCAATGCTCAGCACAAATCTCACCTCCTCCAGCAAGCCGAGCTCTACTTCTGCTCTAGCCTAATGGGTTCTCTTGAAACCCTGAACTCAGAGAGCTCTTGTTTTCCTATGTCTAGGTCTTCTCTCCTCAACCAATAGAAAAATCCTGAAAGCAGAATCTGCTCATATGTCTTTGAATATCTTGCAGTATTCACTATGGAGCTTTGTACATAATATAGATATTCAGCAAAAATTGTATTAGAATGATAGAGTGTGTATTTTCTCACTGTGAAATATTAAGCAAAATGTAATAGCATTAAAAATATAAAACAATTTTCCATCAAACACTAATCCATCCTCTAAAACCCACCTGAAATACTGCTTAGTCCATGAGGCCATCCTTCATCCCTCCTGCCAGTCCTTTCTCCTTTGAATTTTTATGCTATGTAAACAAAAGATGGTCTGACGCTTTACTCATTTCCATTCCCTTCTTAAAGAATTTATTCTAGAGTGGGCAGCCATATGTGACTTTTCCTCTTTGGCCCCTGCTGAGTTGACTACAATGGGCTCTGGACCCATAACCCATATGAGGGCCAGTCATATCCTTTTTCCTGGGACATGTAATTGAAAACAGAGACCAGATCACTCGGATGGTGCTGGGTTACTGGCACTAATAAGACGATGTAGAGTTGCATTCAGAGTGGGTGCCATGACAACCCACACTTCTCACAAATATTGATTGATTAGTGCCCATCATTGTATGGGGCAATAGGGGAAAAAATCAGCCAAAACACCTGCCCTCATGGATCCTCTATTCTAGTTGCAGGGCTTCATTTTAGCTATATTTAGGCAGAATTACAGATAAGCAGAAACTAGGAAGTGAAGAGAAAGAGAATCTGCAGCAAAGAGAATTGAGCAGATCAACAAGAGACTCTGCAGCCTCACAGACAAAGACAGACTTGGAGATCTGGAGAACTGAGCTCATATAGTTCCCATGTTACCCAACTATGCTTCCACCACTACCTCTATTGCTATTGTTGCTGCTATTACTGGCTAACAACTAGTAAGTACTTACTATGTTCCAAGCACTAGGCAAATTTCTCGATGTGCATCTAATAGTTTCAATATCCTTACAATCCAGACACTTATATTATGAATGAAGGAACCAAGGCTCTGAGATGGTAGGTGAGTTACTTAAGAATGCCAGCCAGTAAATGACATGATGGGAACTTGAATTACAGGCCATACTGTTTGAAAATTGGTCTCATCTTATTAGTCTGTATTCCTAAAATATCCTTGTAACAAACTAGTTTTACAGGGTTGTCTGCTCCTTCCAATCAACAGGTACCTTAAATAGCTTGCTATGTTTAGCTTAGACTGGAGGCAGCTGGATAGAGTAGTTCTCTATTTTTCTATCATTCTACAAATAGAATCATAGCAAAAATAAGTCCCCATTTGAAAACGTTCAGATGTTTGAAAATGTTCAAAGTTAGACATTCATGTTTTGGTTTGAATGTTCATGTCTTGAGTTGTATGACTAAAATTAGTGGTTTTGCCCTTCTTGGGCACCTGAGCCCTGGCCAGAGGCGTAGGAGTGGGAGGGGACTGGCAAGATAGTTTAGACAAGAAGGATGTAAATACATGGGCATATCAAGAATTGTCCATAAACCGAATACATAATATATCCTGCACAACATGTGGACCGTGTGTTCTAAATGGAGAAGTGGTTAATATCTATAAAACAAGGATTCCTGTAAAATAATTACTGAACCCATACTAACTTTCTGTCAGTCCTTTCTATACCAACACTTTGTATGAGTCTGCCCTTTTTCTAAAATTAAGAGTAAATCCTCATAATTAGAAATTGAGAATCACTACTGTAAATTATGTTAAAAGGGTATCCAGCCTTTATCATGGGGAAGACAGATATGATGCTGTCATTTACAAATCCCATCCAAATAGCAGGCAGCTCTCACTGATAAGGACACTCTTTCCGTCAGGTTCCAATACAACCTCACACTCTCATTACAATGCTCAAGAAGCCACTACCAATCGATTGGAGTTAGCCTGTGGGATGCTACCATTTCTTGTTTAGAAAATGAAGAACTCACGTTGTTCAATGACCATTCCGTTATTTTCCTAGGGTCCAGATAGAGCATTGAGAATCAAACAGTTAGTTTTATCTAACGCGTCTTGCTTATTTGGCTTTGTGTCAGTGTTCTTGAGTTACCAAGTCTGGTGCCTTACTCATTGCAGTTTGTCAACTGGGTAGAACAAAACTTACCTCTGTATATGGTATTAATAAATGAACGTTGTTGAGCTTCTGTAGAGAGCAGTAGTTGCGGAGTAAATGTTATGGCATAATTGAAATTATAAGTCTTTTAACTCCCCAAGCAACAGAACTCCCTCCCCACCTGCTTAAAAGTTGGGGTTATTATTCACATCCCATTTAAAAATAGCACAGAATCTGCAGCAGGATGGGTGTGGAAGTTGTCTGGTGCTTTAATCACTAATGACCTCATCTTCAAATGGTCAGTGATAATAAACAAGAAGGAGGGATTTCCAAGGGAGCAGAGCATTAATAAGGTAAGATTTTAAAATTAATTTTTCAAGTTAATTAAAATGTCCAAAAGCACAATAAAACTACAGAAAATCTGGCAAGGGAATGGCAGCAGGACTGATTAATGCAAGTCAACTGTCTTCTGAGGGTAATAGTAATAATGATGAGATTATGGATATGGAAGAACCTGCTAAAAAGAAATGTGATGCATGTGGAATACAAACTGCGTCCCAGTTACTATTTTATGGTGCACAATGGATCTTATTAAGGAGGAATAGCGGCAAGAATTACCACTGAATTGCTCAATAAAAGTATAGTGTAATTAACAGTGTTGGAGCAGCAGCTGGAGAGATGCCTCCCATTGATGTTCCATATTCGCCATTTATTTCCAGTTTGCTAAGGGGGTGTAGATTCTAACTAAGACTGTTTGTTTATTTGATCACTAAACAGTAAACGTTTGTCAACCAGGGCACTAAGCTAAGAGATGTGAGGGTGTGAGGATGAGTAAGGCACTGCTTTGGCCCTCAGGGGGCTTATGTTCAAATAGGGGAGATGAGATAGGAATGTAATTAACTTGAATACAATGAAGACTGTGTTGAAACCTTCCATAGAGGTCAAAAGAGAGAGAAATTACTTTTAACAAAAGGGATTTAGCAGAAGCACCTGGGAATCTATGGCATTTGAGAAGGGCTCTGGCTTTGATGTCGGCAAGATTTTTGACAGGTAGAGATAATAATAGTTCTCTACTTGTGAGTTCTTATATTTTTGAAAAAGCCATGCGGTACATAAATAACGTTATCAAGCCAAATAGGAAACAATGGAAGTATATTTGTGGTGAAGAGTGTAGTCAAAGGGGAGATACGTCTTTCAATAATATGTTGAGAGAACTATGTTGGCACATAAAATGGTAACATTTAATGCCATACAAATATATCTTGTGCAAATAGGGCTTTGGACATTTTGGAATCAGGCAATTATGGTTGAGCCAGATGTGCTTGGCCTTAACCGTGCTTGAGGTAGTTATTCTGGCTTTAGGCAGGTATAGTGGACTGGGGGGACAAGAAGCAGGTCACAAAAACCATTTTAGGATGCCGCAGCAAAAGGACACGATGGAAATGATGGGAGCCTGTATTGACAGGATGTGCTTCATGAAAACCGAAAGGAGAAAACACTTGCCAGTAACATTGTGGATACAGAACTAATAAAACTTGAACGAAGAAGAGGGCAAGGTCAACGATGACCACCAGCTTTTGAGTTTGGGTTACCAGGAAAATGGCCAGGTGAACGCCAACAATTTGGTGGATGAAGGGGCTTTGGGCTAATAATGAAGATATGCTGGTACAATAATGACTGACGGACCAAGACAGGTACTTCTCCTGCCTCACCCAGCTGAGGTCAGCCTCCATCTGTTTTAGTACGAAGCTGAACTCGAGTTAGTGCTTCTTAAATTCTACGATGATATGGAGTTTAGGCACCATCAGAATGTGCTTGTGAGATGCTGGCATGGACAGAGATGTTCTTCAGGCATGGGCAGATTATTTAAACCTCATCCACTTGTGCACCGATGTATTTCAGGGTCATTTAGAATGACAGCTGAGCTTTTCAGTCTCCAAAGTAGAGACAGGGCTGCTGCGAAGCTCAGCTCTGAGGTCCAGGAAGGATCCTGGACCCCAGATCATGGGATACAACTGACTTGTAGTTTGGTTTTATAAAGTTTTCACTAGGCCTCCTTTTCATTCTCTTTTAGCTCCAAAGAATTCATTCCAGCCTTCCTTTATCATTGGGTTTCTATTATTTCTGGCTATATTTTCTTCACTCAGCCACCTTTGTTTCTGGCATTGGCGCTGATGAGCACAGAAGGTGTTGAAGCGTAGAAGCCAGCTGACCCAGAGTATAATGAAGCACTAAGATGGAGAGGGAGGAGTGCCAAGAAATTCAAGCTGGGGTAGATTATAGTCTAAAGGCTCATTCCGTACCAGACTCATAAATTTAGTTCATTTTCAACTCCCTTGTTTCCTTAGTCCCTTGTAACAATTTACCAGTAAGACAGTTTCTAGCTTTGTTACTTCTCAGCTCCATGCCTGCCTCTCTAGCTCCAAGGTCACAGCCCTAGTTTTGCTGTCAGCCTTCTTTAATGAGGACTAGTATAATCTCCCCACTGGCGCTCTGAACTCTATCTGGTCCTCTTCCAAGCCATCCTGTGCACTACAGCGCACATTATTTTCATTTTCAGGATTCTCCAAAGCCTCGATGGCTCTCCGTTTTTTTCCTGGAATCAGACTTAAAACCCTGATCCTGGACTTTCAGGTTCTTCCTTGGTCACGGCCCTCCTCAGGCATCCTTGCCACCTGCCGCCGCCCATTCGTGTTTTGCTCCTGTCGGTAAACAGCTTTGCGGCACGCCACACACAATTTATGGCAGCCACTTCCGAAAAGCTGTCGGCATCACGGCTTCCTAAAGTGCCATTTTTCTCTGCTTCTCCCACATCTGTCTCAGATTTCTTTGAGAGATCTTTCTTGTTACTTCTCGTATGTGTGGGTGTGCCTATGTTTCCTTAAATGCAGGTGGACTAAATGCAGATTACCAAACCCTTTCTTTTTTAGAGGTTATGAGGCCAGTCTTCTCCCTCTGTAAGTTTGCTTTCTGCTAACTTTTCCTTCTTGCCTTGAGCATTGTCTTCCTAGCTCTACTCTTTAGCTGTCTGAAAGAATGACTGCACTGCTAAGCCTCCTGCTAAACACAGACTGCAGATATATGGCTTACAGGAGATCACAGTACTTTCCAAACTGTACTCGGATTTAAAAATAAAAAGGGTTCTAGTTTTACGTAAGTATGGGAAATCCTGGATTAAGCAGAGCTAGACAGGTTTCTTTCTGGAGGACTACTTAGAGATTTTAATGATGTACATTTTAGATCTCCAAGAAGGGGTGTTTCATGATCCATCAAAATTAGGGGCAATTGTCCTCTCTGGGACAGGCTCTCCTTTGATTTCTTTTCTCTTATTGCAATGAAATGTAAATTTCAAGACATCAAGAGATAGAAACCAACTGAAAGAGGTTGGATTTTTTTTTGTTTCCAACATGATGCAGTGCTAAATACCACCAGGGTATTATTGCCTCTGCCTGAAGGTGAATAAAGCATTTGGCTCTCAGAAGTGTTCAGGGCCCAGAACTGGCACAGTTCACTGTCTTCAGGGAAGGATGACAGAGAGGTGCCTTCTGCCTGCAACCACGTCCCTGCCAGCACAAAAGGGCAACCGTTCTAAAAAGGGAAACGTGGTCTCAGTGCTTCTCACTGCTTTCCTCAGGACAGAAATTGCAGCCCACAAGGGCGACAGCACAACTCAACATTCTTACCTCATTGAGGACGCTTAGGAGCAGGTCCCCGCCCCCTTTATTCTTGAAACATTCAAAAGAAAACAGAACTTTTAAGAGTCTCACGGGAACGGCATGCTTTTCATGCTTTGCTTCTTTGTTGCTGATGCATAAGCTCGGGCTCTGGCTAGTCCCTGCTGGCTGCATCCCAGCTCCTGCAGGCCCCACGCCCACCTTCCTCCGGGCTCTGTCCCCAGGAAGCTTGCTGCTGCAGACGGAGGTCTATACCAACCTCCCTCCCTCTTCGATGGTGTGTTTCTGGAAGAGCCGAGTCCTGCTCCGATGGCACTTCCCGTCGTCGGCAGCCCCTCCCTGTGGCTCCAGCTCTCACTGGCCTCGTGGGGGAAAGCTCTCTCCTCCCCCTGCCCTTGACCTAGGGTGGCCAAGACTTCCCACGGCCTAATCTCCTGGTGCCTCAACCTCTCCTTGGGCGTTCCCTTCACTCCACCCACAGCTCTGCAAATAGTCCGGTCAGTGGATTAGGCCTCTGGAACCTTCTGAGTTGGGTCCTATTTCTTTCCGGCCCCGGAAAATACACTGTATTTTCAGGAAACATACACAGGTCCTTCCCAGGAAAACAGCGGGGAGCGGTCACAGTGTGCGGTTGCCACCTCCTCCTCCTGAAAGATGGGGAGCGCAGCTAGATCGCAGCTTTGGCTGGTCGCCCTGGACTCAGAGCGCCGGGCCCAGTAGGTCGTTTGCCCAGCCTCATGTGGTCAAGAAGCTCTTTTTGATGGAGGGCACCTCAGGGGACTAGTGTTCCAAAGGGCCCATTTTGCAAAGCCCTAGAGCAGAATATAGCTCAGGAGGGATGGAGCACTTTCAGTGGTTTGCTGATAGCAAGTATTTAGGAGGCTGATCTGGGCCACGCTGGAACCACCTGGCCTGGCAGATGGCTGCAGTATATTTCAGATCAGAGAAGTCCCTAAGTGTCCCTCAGTACACATTGCTCTTCACCTCTGTTCTCTTCAACAATGTGTAAGCAAATTTTGGCTTGATTTGATGGGGGATAGGGGTGATAGGGGATGGAGGGTGAGGGGGTGGGGATGCTATTGTACTGTAGCTTTTGAAATATATCCCAGGGGAGTCTTTTCCCATGCCAGAAACTCTGACCTGTTGCTTTCTGATATTCCCAGGGAATGGCACTGTCCACTCAGAAATGAGGGGACGTTATTGTCCTCTCTGATCACAGAAGGATGAGTCTCCGAGGAAGCCATAGAAATGCCAGAGCTTTCTTCCATGAAATAGCAAACTCAGCGTAATTTTAGTAAGTGTTAGCGTGGTAGGCATGCTGGGATGGGAAATGACTTGGCAAAAAGGCCTGGAACATCACTGAATTTGTTTGTCCTTTAGAAACAGAAAACATAGGAGCTTACTTTACTCTTTCAGTAACTGTGTGGTCAGTGTAATGGTCAGAGGCCAAGCGGCCTCTTCAAGATGCCAGGGATGCAAGTCCCTCTCCATATTGTGGATCAGTAGCAATGCTGGGTGAATATGGTGTCATGGAGCCCTGGGATCGCAGCCGGAACCCTCATACCTTGTGGCCAGCTGTCTCTGTCTTCCTGCTTCTGCAGAGCTGGCTACCTTGTAACTCTCCTGGAGTCCCCCATGAAGCCCCACTTCTGTGACTCACTGTCCACTCAGACGCTGCT